TTCATTTCTGCTCCAGGTTTCAGTGATATAGAATTCTATGGGACATGTTACTAACAGATTGCTTAACTCTAATGTCACCTGCCAATGAAAAGAAACTTTATACCAGTCCAGCCATAAATCAAAGGGTGTCCATCAAACAAAATGGAAGATTTACACAAAACTGTCTATTTGACTGACGATCATTACATGCCACGCACTATACTTGGCACTGGGGGTGAGATGAGGAGGATAAAGATGAATGATACAGTTTTCTTTAAAGGAATTTATAGTAATAACAATTTAAGAATGTTTTAAGTGGTTCTGTATCTGATGTGATTACTTATGTAATTATGAATTACAAAAACTAAGAAACATTTAAACAGGGCATAGTACCTCCCAGATGAGAACTAGCTTTTTATCTCCTGTTAGTATAAATAATACTGAGAAACATGAAAGTATTAGATGGTAATTTTTCCTTTGTCATTTGTCAGAATCATATTGTTAGTCTTTACAATAGCTGTATCCCAGACCCTAACTCCAAAATCTACACAAAATTTTTATTTTTAACTTCTTGGCAGTAAATAAGAGGCTTCTTTGGTCTAATGTTACTAAACATCTGTACAGAATTTTAGCTTCTCCTATCAATCTAAAAGCTTGCAATCATAATGAATAATCCCGTTAAGAACCCTGGATAAAGCTTGCTCTATTTCTGCATCCCAGACATAATTTCTCTGTCAAGTCATCCTGTGAGCATTTTTTTTGCGAGGAAAATGTTTGCTTCCCTGCGAATTCGGCGTGTGATTATTTTTCCTTTAGGCCCATAAGAGCAACATTACTGACTCAACTTTTTTGCTTCGACTACCAAAAAGCTTAAGCCTAATTTGAGTCATAACCATGCAGATTTTCAGGCTAATCTTGGTTCCTACTCTTAGTTATATTTTCCCATTTTATACATGTCTTGTTGAAAGCAATTTCAAATACATTATGAAACGAGATAGGGAATTAAAAGAATAAAAGCAATCCTCGTTGTTCCCTGTCAGCTGGATGACAGCATTTTATTGCTNAGTGAAGCAACGTCCTCCACAACTAGACTGAAGAACAAAAGGACAGCAACTTGTCTGTTCCCCTTCCCCGATTCCCCAACGCTGTTCCCTTCTCCCAATTCCCCAATAAAATCTTAAAACAAAAAAAGAATTAATGTTCACATAGATCTTTTCTATTTCTTCCAGTTTTAAGTGTAAACAATTTAACATACTTAAAGCTATTTTATAATAAATTACTTCACCTAGATTTTGCATAATTTAAAAAACCCTATTTTTCTAACAAAGAAAATTTTTGTTTTCTATCACTAGAGGTACAGTAAAACCTTGGCTTGCAAGTAACATAGTTTGCGAGTGTTCTGCAAGATTAGCAAACCTTTCTAATACATTTTAACGTGGTAAATGAGCGATTATTTCCGGAACGAATTATGCTTGCAAACCAAGGTATTACTGTATTTTCTTATAGAGTTATCTGCTAAGTCTCTCATCCACAATTCTAGAGAGTGAAGTCAGTCAAGGCTCTAAGGGTAGAGTTTCAGGGTCTGTTCAGGGAAGTAGCCCTTCTACACACCCTGCAACTCTCAAACCGATAGCAGCCTCTTTACAGAGCCTAGTGGATTTGGATGATTTGGATGGGTAATCCCAGCGCAGCAGCCCCTGCACTGGATGAACCCTGCTTCCCTTTCAGGACACTTTCCAACTCATGACTCAGCTCTGAAGAGGATGTGGCTGGTGAAGTTTCCTGCTTCGAGTAGACACAAGTTCACATGGCCTCCCCTCTGTGGGCCTGGTGGCTATCCACACAGGGGCAACTGACTCCAGGTGTTGGTGTTTAGACCAACAGCCACTCACCTGCGTGAGGAAACACCACCACCACCAGTCTCACCCAGCGCAAATGAGGATGTGACATGTAAGGGCCTTGGACAGTCCATATTTTGGGATGTTAACAATTAGTGGTTCAGTTCACCAGGGAAATCACTGGGGATTTAAAAAACTTAGTTCTGTACATGAAAAAAGAAAAAATAATTATTCTGAATATAGCGTGCTCTTCTTTTTTCCTTAACGTTATGGTGGTATCTCTACTATAGATCAATTCCTTAAAGTCTGCTTTAAGTAATTAATCTTTTTTTTAAAGTAATTAACCTTGAGGCAGCATAGAAAACACACATATTGCACAACTTTTCTAGCCCTCCTCTTTCCCAAAGGTAACTATGATTTCTGTTCTTAATGTTGGTTCTTATTAAGCATAGATTAAATCTGTATCTCAAAACTACTGAAGATCGACAATACTAATCTTTTTACTACAGTTAAAACCTCCAATGGAAACTGGAGTCCAGGTTCAGGAATATCCCATTTGAATGAATGAGGAATTGTAAAATACAGGCCTTGCTCCATATGCCCACTTACAGTCAGAGCAAGTTTTGAAACCAGAGTTTTCTTTTGCTATTTATTAATTATGCTGTAGCTATAGTTTAAATTAAGTTCCTAAGCCACAGAAACTTGTACTTCTGTCAACAAAATGAGTAAATCTACAGTGTGGAAATGGTGAACATTTAACAGTCTGCATGCACTGAAGGCTTAATATCTAAAATTGGAGGTAAAAAAGACAGGATGCGATTATTTTCCAAAAGCACTGTTTTTATTTATAGAGGCCTAACCACTTCAGTGGCAGGAGTGGGAGAGGTTTCTTATGCAATCCAGGGGCCTTCAGAATGTCGGTCTGTTGTTACCAAACACAGGCAGTGGTGTCACGGATTTGGTAAACTAACTACAATGTTTAGTCTCTCTCTGCTAGAGCAACAAGGTGAGCATCGATCTCCGCTTCTGTAAGAATCCTGGAAGGCAAAGGGGAGAAAACCCACTATTTACTTTTTGAAAACTTTATTATGCAAAATTCCAAACACACAGAAGCAAAATAGATAGAACTCATGTGTACCTAACAGCCAACTTCAACAATTATCAATATATAACTACTCTTTAAAAAAATCTATGACTTACCACTTATCCTTTTATTTTGAAGGAATTCCTACATATCATATCAACTTAATCTACACACAAAAATGTTTACTTAACATCAAATCTAGAATTAAGTCTTTTGAAAACAAGACCCTTTTAGTTGTAGCTATGATAGAAAATATTTAAATATAAAGCTAAACTACACATAAGATATTCCACTTTAGCTCACATGTCAAAAGACTGAAGTCTGTATCAGCTGAGAGATAAGAAAGCACCCCACCTTGACGATATATGGTATTTTCCAAAGAAATCAACTGCTTGGCAACCTTTAAAGGGACCTATTACTTCTGGACTTCTAAAAAGTGCAATTCGTCAAAGTGATGTTTTTTAGTGCAAAGTGGGGAAATGTAAGTAGTTTACACAGTTGTTGATGCTTATGTTATATAGTCTAGTTATTATTTAAATACATTTACTATCATAGAATTTATAAAAGATACAAGGGATTTCTGAAGACACAGGATCTTTGGGTTTCTTATCTATTTACCTAACAGATGGAAATAAAAATTTTAAAGGTTATAGGAGGGTCTCATAATAGAAAAGACAAAAAGAACGAAAGAACTAACTGCAGGTCCTTTAGAGAGATTTGTAAATTGCTACTGCTGGAATTTTACTGCTTAAAAAAAAAGATGGGCTGGCTGAGTGGCGCATTGGTTAAGAGCTGGCTTGGGACACCAGCTTTGAGCAGCAGGGCCCCAGTTCAGATCCCACATGAGGGCCAGTGACACTGCCCTCTACAGCTAAGATGGTGAACAACAACTTGACCTAGAGCTGGGCTGCTGTGAGTCGCTGGCAACGGCGTAGGCTGCAGTGAGGCTGCAGTGGGCTGCCATAAGCTACCGTGTGTAGCCCTCAGCCAGCGTGAGCAGCCAGAGCCGGTGTGAGCTGCCAAGAACTACTGTCCAGAGGCCGGCGACTGATCTGCCTCACCTGGGAAGAGCGCAATGATAATACGAACTTGGGCCAGTGAAGCCACATCCTCCACAACTAGACTGAAGAACAAAAGGACAGCAACTTGTCTGTTCCTCTTCCCCAATTCCCCAACGCTGTTCCCCTCTCCTAATTGCCCAATAAAATCTTAAAAAAGAAAAAAAGACAACTGGTACATTTATACAATGGTGTATTACTCGGCCATAAAGAAGAATGAAATCTCAACATTTGCAATGATATGGAAGGACCTAGAGAACATTATGCTAAGTGAAATATGTCAGACGGAGAAAGACAAATACCATATGATCTCACTTATATGTGGAATCTAAAGAACTGAATAAATGAGCAAACCAAAAAAAAAAACACACCTTTTCCTACAGAAAAAAAATGTTAGAGAATAAATTTGTTTTGTAAAATCCTTCATGTTTATATCACTTACCTGCAGGCAATAAGAACAACAAACTAGAAAAAAATATATATGTACTAACAAAAAACTCTTCGAGGCCTGATTAAGCTTAGTTTACCACCTTTTTTCCCACCCCTAACCATGACCATGTGTCCTTATAATTGTGACCTAAGAGTACATACACACAATAGTTAATATGTCTTTTAGCAGTTTCTTGAATCTGTAGATTCAAGTGAAGTATTTTCCACTATTCACAAAAGCATATGGGTTCATGGTGAGTAACCACCTCACAGGGTAGCTGGGAGGATTAAGTGATCTGATATATGTTAGGCACCCAGTATAGATTTGACTCATGGAAGCTGTTAAGGTTGATTTGTGCAAGTTAGTCACTTAATGAGTAAGAACAGACAGATATCCAATATCTGCAATTCAATGAGCTGTATTCAAAATTTGGGGCTTCCAAAGATTTCCAGACAGGGTCTGATGTATATCAGTATTTCATACTGCTCTTCAAAGCTCCACTTAAATAACCACTAAATAATCAAAGCTCTGCCTGAAAAACTTGAAAACTACTATTTTGACAGTTAAATTTCTATTGGCCTTATGCTAAAAAGAAGAAAAATACTTATGCTTACTTTACTCCTTACATAAAGGTTATTTTATGTCACCCCGATACTATAAAATCACCCTGAAATAGGAAGAAAAAGTTATGTCTGTCTTAAAGAGATATCCAGTAAGTTTAAAACGGACCTCTCAGATGTTGAAGAAAAAAATTGTAATTGTAGTTCAAGAAAATGTTTTCTCCCCAAGTTATAGGACATTTGGATCCCCACATCTCCACCTTCCTAGGCTGCAATTTATCAGTTGGCAAACTCATTAAGTAACTGCATGGCAATATAACTCACCTGAATTTAGGATTTTCAACTGTAACTACTCCAACTTCTATTTCTGAAGGTTTGAAATCAATTGATAGAACAGTAGACAGGCATGTAATCGCAGTCTGAAAAAAGCATCAACATTAAAATATAGTATTTTTCA